TATATTTATTATTATTATTATTAAATTCAGAAGTACAAAAATATCTTTAAAATATTTAAGAAAATTTCATTTTTGTAAAGGAAACCAAAACTTACACAATCACACACACATAAATGAAAAGTATTTAATTAAATTTTGATCTGTTAGGTTTTAATTAAAGATTTTGTATGGAAATTTTTAATTTTGAAAGATAATTAATAAAATGTTAACGTTTTAAATTAGATAATATTTTAGGATTTATAAGTATAAACATAAATATATAGCCTATATATATAGCTAAGGTGTTGATTAATGACTATCAAATTTGGTTAATTTTGAATACTAAATTGTCATTTAACAATTTTCTTACAACAAAATTATTCTTTCGATATTGAAACTAAATTAAAAATATATTCATTATGTTGATAAATTTATTTCATAAATTATATTTAATTTTATACTAGAGTTAAATTAAAATTTTGTAAGCAAAAATATAGAATGATATATTAATCAATAACTTTTTTTAAGTTCGCTAATTAAAATAATGTAAAGTTTTTAACTTATAAATTTTCATTAAAAAATTTTATTAATTATAAAATCAGTTATTTTTCTTTTTAATTGAATATTTTTTGAAGAATTGATTTTATTTTCCTGTGTTTTTTTTGTATCTAAATCAGCTCCTGTATTTATATATAAGTTAAAGTGAATTTATTGTTGTTTTTCCTATGTTTTTTATATTAAATAATTTGCTAATGGAATTACATTTATTCCTAATCTTAATGTTTAAATAAAATGTTACTTATATCCCTGTGGAACCAGAATCCTATTAAGAACGAAGCAATCATGTCCAATTCAGTCTACATTGCTTCAGAATAAATAAGAAGCACGTACTGTACTTCAGACCATCTTACATTAAAAATAATTTACTTTTAGTAAAAAAAATAAATCAATAAATAAATATTCGAATCATATTTTTTTATGTCAATAATCTGAAATTAGTAGCCCCATACAAAAATACATCTTATAAAGAGAAATAAATGAATATAAGATATCTGGTTATGAATTAATAATGTCACATAAGAAAGTTGTGATTTTTAACGTATAATTTAATTACTTACGTTTCAAAATGACAATTGAGAGTTAATGCAATATCCTTGTATATTTTCTCAGGAGAATAACACTTTGAAGTAAAATATGCAAAAGTCCAATATAACACTTAAAATATTTGACATTGTAAATTAGTAACAATATTATACGAGATTTCGAGATATAAATTACATATAAAAATACGTAATTTTTTTTTCTAACTCTTTTTTAAATTTTAATTTCGCATTAACAACAATTAAAAGATGTTATATCACTTTTTAAAAAAAAAAAATAAGACTGATACATTGAGTTAAATTCTTTATTTATTTATTTTATTTTGTAGGTTTTTTTTCACCTCTTAAGTATCCTACAAAAGAAAGAATAAGATGGTGAAATGTAGAACGGTTGGTCAAAGTGGCTAGCAGTAGTTTATCGATAAAAACAAAGAAACAAATAAAAAAATTATCAGATTTTTCTGAAATAAAAGTGTGAGCCTGTTCAGTAGCAAATGCGAAACAAATGGATTTGCTGTTTTCTTTTTAAAAAATCAAATTTTCTTTCTACTGAAACAAAGAAGAGATTGGTTATTTTATTTCGTATTCCTCCCCATATGGATAAGAATATATATATATAGGTAGAGGAAGAGAAGGAGAGAGTATGTGTGTGTGTATATATATACAAGAAATTTCACTATTTATTACTTTATAGAAAAGATTTTAGATACATAAACAATTTAATTGAATCAAGAAACTATTGTAAAAAAAAACATTTTTATTCATATTACCGAATAAATTATATAAAATCCGGTTTAATCCGGATGACATTTACAGCATCACACCAATTCTTCCAGTTTAAAAAAAAAGGAAAAAATAAGTAAAAGAAAGTATGGAAAAAATTTTTTCTTTCTATTTTTAAAAATTCCTGAAGGAATACAATAATAGGAAAAAGTAAATCAATATTTCTGTATATTTCTTTACTCTTATTTAATTTTATTATTTTTAAAGGTACAATTTTTGAATTCGTTTGTAATTAGCATCAATTGGGCATATATTTCTTTTTGTATAGGTAATTTACGAATTTTATTATTATTATTTCTTGTTCTTATTCTCAATAATCCAATAAATTACCTTAGGATACCAGAATGATGATTAATGCGATAGCAAATAAGGGCGAACAAACTTCGAATATTGACTTGACTTAATTACTTACTGGAATAATCGATAAAGAATTTCTTAAACGACAGGTGAAATTGTATATCCCACACTTTAACAAACAACTATTTCATTTTTTAAAGGATCAATCCCTTCTACTTTCAATGCAATTTTTAAAGTTTTTAATTTCTTTTTTTTTAGTATGTTTACACGTTTTTTAGAACCTAATTTATAGTTTCAGGTAGTCATATGTAGCTAGATTGATATGTAATATTCAAACTACTATAATATTTATAGCTCTATAAAGTTGTATATATTTGCGAAGTTCTATATATGTATCGTCAATCATGCTCAACACGTAAACTATGACTAAAATCGATACAAACTAATAAGGATTGTCGGTAAATTATAAGTAAAGTTTCTATATTAAGACAACAATTAAGTATAAATATAATAAAATAAACAATGATCTATTATTCCTTTAGTGTATGCGATATACCTGAGGTTATTATAATTACTAATAAGATAAACCATTCTTCAGAAAGTAAATGGATATGATATTATTACTATATTAAATTGCTTCAAGCAATTGATGTTGCTGACTGTGTATCACTTGTCATAAAGAGACACGTGTACAAAGTATATCCATTGACTTTGATGTAACTCGAATCCTTCACATACACGAGCTCTTTATGTAATTTATGGTACATGGTCACGGATACAAAGTGCAGATGTAGATAATATCCCTATCAATCCCCATAGTCTTGTGCATTTGACAATATGATACAATATGCTAAACTTGTCGACGACAGGTTGGTTGAGACCTTGGATTAACTGAATGGATCAATAAGTTAGCTTTGTTATCCGTAACGGCGATAATGTCACCAGCTGTGACACCAACCGAAGGAATAGATGAACCAATTGGAAACTTACTAAGATTACTAAAAGTTATTAAATCATTGTTGATTTTAGTTATTTGACGTTTTATAATGGTTATAAATTCTTAAAACGAATCATCATTTGCTATTTATGCATTTTCTGTTAACTGAAATGTAACCGAAATGTTTTAAAATGTATTTTCTGTCTCGTGAGTGTTTCTTGCTTCATTCTCTTAGATTCCATCATCTAATTATAATGCTAATTAACTTAGATTTATATTATATATATATATAAGAAATTAATGATTAAATTTATACATTTTTTTCCTTAATTTTCTTACAGCTTCAATCCTGTACACAGCTGTTATACGCGGTAAAGTGGCATTGCCTTGTGACATATCACCTCCAGCTGCCGATGATGCGGTAGTGTTAATTTTATGGTATAAAGACGAAGACCCTGCCCCAATCTATACTTTAGATGCTAGGAGAGGAACAGTCGAACAAGCGAGGCAGTCATCTAGTCCACATTTGGACAGTAGGGCTTACTTCAATATGATCAACAGGCCGGCTTTCCTGCAACTAGATCCTGTACAAGAAGGTGATGCTGGAGAATACAGATGCAGAGTTGATTTTCGGAAAGCAAGGACGGTCAATACTGTCATTACATTAAAAGTTATAGGTAAGAAATGGTTTTCTTACATCACCCTAAAACTCGATATAACATAGATTAACGAAATAATAATTAAACACAAGATTCCTATAGCATCTTCTGATATATATTTATCTAAATAGAGAGTTTTATATGTAAAAAATGATATTAAATCACACAAATTACATAAAATCATCACATAGGTTGATGAATTAGAATTAAGATTGTCATTTCGAAAATTAATAATCGATTCACTTTAATATTCATAATGATAGGATGTATTATTAGGAGTATTAATATCCTAAAGCATTAATTAGTTATCATTTATACAGGAAATCTATTACAACTCATTATAATATTCCATAACTAGTTATTTATTAATAATTAATAAGCATACATTATTGTGGTAAATAGATTTTAGTAATTTATTCACATCTCGAAGGATACTTATTATAAGATTACAGTTAAATCATTTGATACTAGAAAGATATAAATGAAAGCTTTCAAACCGCTAACTATTATCTTCATCCCTTTAGTGTTTTACTGTTTTCTATCCAAAACTTAGCCTGTCGATGACAACAGCTATAAATAATGGAGAAAGACAGAAAGTATAAAAAGTTTCATGTCGTGTTAAACTGTACCCGACGGTTGTTACTGTCATTACGTCAAAGTTTCTGTTTTTGGGGGAAGAGGATGAGATAAAAAAAAAGTAAAATAAAAAAAAATATATCCAGAACAATAGATCTGTTCTACCTAAGATCAAGGAGTGTTTCGGAGAGGCAGATAAAAGGTTGTGATAAATCACGCTCTTGTTTTACCATCTTCAATATGTGGCATGGTACAACGAACATCAGCTGGATGGCAAAATGTCTACTATGTAATAATAATAAAAACGTTGTCAGGTTTTTTTTTCCTTTCTTTCTTTTTTCTTTTTTTTTCTATACGTTGCAAGCAATCTAGATGCTACTTCTTTTTTGGGGGTTGCGATTTCAATATTGTATATAAAAGGAAAAATAATTTTGATAGAATGAATTTTTTTTAAAAAAAAGTATTCTTTTAAAAAGAAATTCTTTTTGTATTTTCTTGTTCTTGTTAATTATTTTTCTCCTTTTTATATCTAGTCACACAATTTTTATTTTAAAAGTTTTTCTTCTAACTTTTTCGCTTTGATAATATAACTTATAAACTTAATATTTAATAAAATTTAATTTATATAAAATTTAATGCTTAGCGTATTTTTATATTATTTTAAATGCTATAAATTATTTTTACATTGTTTAATTGTAATTAGAAGTTTATAAAAGTAGTGTAAAATTTTAATATACAATAATTTTTTTTAATATTTTAAAATTTTTTATATAATTTTTTAAGTAATTTTAACAATATAATAAGACGTAAGTTGACTACTTTAAACAAGACATATTGATTTTACATGTAAGATTTCTCTATAATCAAGCATATTCATGTTGATATCTTTGGAATTTTCTTCGTTTATATATAATATTATAATAAAATTTAAGTAATAAATTAACTGTGCAAGTAAATTTAAATGAAAAACATAAGCTATTCCTACATTAACTTTAAATGTTATAGGAATAATCTTAATTACATTTTATAGAAACACGAGAGTAATTTACATAATAAGTTCAACACGATTTTATAAGATAAATGCCATTTTTGAAAGACAATTTAAGAAAAGAGGCCGAAATAATTTATGATGGTGGCATTACACCATAGGAAAATATCTATATTCCGCACCATAAGTCTTGGCTTATGGAGCCATCGATATGCATAAAATACACTCTACCAATGCAGGTAATGACTTATGAGAGTAAAGTTTATATCAAGTTAAGAAATATTTTTACTTCTCCACCCATCTTTCTCTCGAGTCGTTTGTTTTTCAGTGAAATTTCAAGTAAAGCGAAGTGCATCGCTTACTACGAGAGAGAAGAGAGAGAGAGAGAGCAACTCCCCAACAGCAGCAGTGATAAATAACTCTACTCTAAACGGTCCTAAGAAAGAAGAAAAAACAAAGTAGAATATCCAACGATTTCTGTCGCAACTTTCTGATGGCACGCCACGATTACACGGAAGGAATGGAAATTGTCCTTAATAACGATCAGATGCAGCGTCACGATGAAGAATGGAAGTATATTTATCGCACGCTATATCCAATCAAGGAATGGGAGATACTCGCTCTCATCTATCACGACAAACTTATACTTTTTTGAAAAAGGGTGGGAAGTGGAAAGAAATAAATTCTGTCCACTTTTATACAGCTACACCACTATCCAAAGTACCACAGGGATGGAATGATACCGACTGATATCGAATATCCAATTTCTCTCACAGGTCGATCCCAGAGAAATGCCACAGGACCTAAAGTATTCACTTTTATACATTTGGCAGATGGACTAGGTGCGTGTAGTAGACTTTCTTTTCTTCTTCTTCTATCCNCGTCAATTTCTCTCTTCTTGTAAAGTTGTAATTATTTTAATTATTTTTATTTCCAAACTGATTTTAACCAGTTCTATAGTAAGGTAACATTCCAATAGACAATATGCAAAGCTTTTTTTTTCAGTTTACAGCAGTATTTATTACACAAAATTTAAGTAAAGCTTAACATGCCGATCTTGCCCCGATCTCCCCTAATTACTTATTAAATATTTAAAGAATATTAAAACAATTTTAATATAAAATGATTAATCTAAGTACAGGTGTAGAGTATTGGAAGTTATGTCAATAGTATTGGTATAAAAAAATGAGGAGAAACATTATAGTTTATGATAAAATTAATGGCGCATTATGTCTGGGGCCCCCAAATCAATCTTTTATAAGAAAATATTTCCCCCAAAACAATTCTCTCGGAAGAAAAATGTCCGAAGTCAACACTGTACACGGGGCTCCTAATTCAAATTTGTCTGCTCCCCTTGAAGATATAACGCGTCACTGGATTAAATTCATTTGTAGTAAGATATTTAACAAAAATCAAAAAGTAAATGTTACCAAATTAAACTATTCTTACCTTTTCTGTAGCATTTTTCGGTGCAAAGTTTGTGATTGCAAACAGGTGGATTCATTGATAGTTTGCAGAAAGTCGACCCAATTCCTCCAGCTCGGTTCTGTTTAATAAATAAGATTCTTATTAGAAAATCTGAAATAAATATAAATAATTTCACCTTTAAAGTCTGTAATGAAAACAGAATAATTACATTTATTACCAGAAATTTTCTACTTTTAAGCGAATTAGAACTTACACTTTATAGGCCTGAGCCAAATGTTTACATTTGTATCGATTGCAACAGCACAGTTTACTTACATTCTAACTTTTACATCTGCTTATTATTATTATTATTATTAATTCTAACGCTATATCCCAGTTAATTAAATAGAGGTAGACTATATTTTCTCTTATTACATCTGGAATAAGTCACATAAGGTTTCGGATAGTCGATATAATCCCATCTTTCTTCAATCGAGAAAGGGTATTCTTCCTCCAAAATCTTTTCAGTATATTTGTTGACGAGATTATGAATCCTGTACATGAATTATATCATTAATAATCCTTCATGAACTTTATAATTTATACAGCATTGCATGACTTTAAAGATCTTAGATCCAACTTTCTAATATGCTATACATGAATTCCTTTCCACCTTCTCACTACTTAACACATTCATTTTTATTCTTTCTTTAAGTATTAAAGGATTGGAAATTTATTTATTATACTCAAAAATAATTCTTTTTTAATTAGGCTATTTTAAAGTTATTATTCAGAATTAAATACTTTAACTAGAAGCAGATATAAAACATTAGATAAGTATTGAAATCTTTTTTAATTGATGCTGTTAGGATGATGATAATTAAGTTATATAATTATATAAAATATATTTTATATATTAAACCATAAAATTAATCTTAAAAAATAGATTAAAAATTGTATTTTATTATTAAGATCAATTTAAAATTATAATCTTCTTAAAACTTAAGTTTGGTGTCTTGAAAGATTGTATTAATTTTATGAGTTTTTATGGTTATATTTATTTAAAAAATACTATAGTTAAACATTAATGCGTTTTTTTAAATAGTATAAGAACAGAAAACATTAATTAATTTATAAAATGGACTTAAAATCCAAGAAAAATAACCTGTGAACTTGTGATAAATGTCCAGCTTAGATTTATATAATTACACTTCATTGCTTAGGAGAAGTGGATAAAAATGAAAATAATTAATGTTTTGCCCATCAAAAATTGAAAAAAAACAGATAAAATATTCTATAAATTAGTATATTTATTGCAAAATAAAATGTTCTATAATGAAACTACAAGTTCTTAGGAAAAAAAGTATTTGTTGAGAATTAAATTATTATGTTAATTAAACAAAAGTAAATTTGTTAGGCATAACTTAGAAGCAAATTAGAAGTTTAGAAGAGATGAAATGTAATTTTTGTACTGTTATGAAGCTTAGAAACTTGTTAAGAGAGGAGTGAAGGAGAATATAATTTCGCTTTTCTGATAAAGTTGAGTGAGGAAAAGATACGTTGGATGTAGGCTGACCTAACAAAAAGACAGGACAGTAAACTTCTTAGATAAAATTTCAGAGATTGTGTCATCTCTCCACCAAGTTTTTTACCTTAAGCAGTATCTTTTTTGTCTTTTTTTTTAAATTTCTTATGAAAAAAGTTTAAGATGATATATATACGATAGGCAATGTAAAGCTAAATATAATGTACACAAGATATTATAAATAAAACTCAATTTATAACCTAAATTAATAATTTAAGCTGTATTTCGCATTAAAACACGATAATTTCCATGTTATTTAACTAAAGTTTTGTTTTTTTATAACGAAAAACTTTTCTAAAATATGTAGAGAAAGAAAATATTTAAAAAATTCAAACAGTAATAGACTCTAAACATTAACTTATAAAAAGAAAATTCAGTTAGAAGATCATTTTAAAAATACAGTTTTGTTAAGTATAGAAGCTCTAAATCCACCCTTCAACTTAAAATTAAGGTAGAGATGAATAAATTGAACAATGTGATCGATCATCATGTTTCCTATAATCGTCTGAAACATGATGATGATATTGTTTATTGGTAAAAGTGAAGATAATGAAGATTACTTCATCAAATCAAGATAGAAGCCAACAATAGAAAAAACTC